AGTTGTTTTACAGTTTTGCATTTCTGTTTTGGGTTGAAGAAATGGGTTTGTGACTTTGTGGTGTTATTTAGATACTGTAGATAATGATTGGGTAAAAGTTTTGAAAATGTTTTGGGCCGGATCGAGTAATAATGTTTAAGATTGTAGTGTGTAATTGTTTGAGTTGGTTATCAACTAGGCACTGGGTTGTAGTGTGTAATGTATTCTGATAATGATCTCACAGGAACTTCTTGCCCAGGAGAAGACACAGGCATCAAGTTCAAACAATGAGGAGGTTGACCTTGACGAGCTTATGGATGTAAGTGTGTTAAAAGGTTTTAAGTTGCTTCCTGAATTAATTGTTACAAAAGCATTGATACTCCATTTTACAATTACTCTGCCATGACATCTTTCTGCATGGATTCATGTTCTCTCTACTGACAGGATCCTGAGCTGGAAAAATTGCATGCTGATAGGATTGCAGCGCTAAAGGTTAAAAATTCAATATCTCATGTGCCATTATTTGATATACTGCTTAGATCTGGATAGGCTTTCTGAAATATGTAATCACACTAGGATTTATTTGAACAGAAAGAAGCTGAGAAGCGAGAAGCCTTAAAAAAGCAAGGACACGGTGAGTGTACGGAGATAAGTGAGGGAGATTTCTTGGGTGAGGTCACTAGGAGTGAGAAGGTGGTTTGTGACTTCTACCATAAGGAGTTCTACAGATGCAAGTAAAGCTTCTCTCTCTTCCACATGCATACACAGCCCACTACAAACCACATGCATCTATGTGCATCACTGCGTCTTAGTCCCTATGTTGCAAGACTTACTTGGTATTATTGATGGGTAATCTAGAACAATGGATAAGCATTTGAAAGCCCTTGCACCAAAGCATCTGGATACGAAGTTCATCCAGCTGGATGATGAGGTGAGCATTAATGAGTTTGTTGTTTCTAGAATTTGATATAGATTTCTCACATTTTACTATGGTTTTTGCGACTTGTGATTCTATTATAAGCTTTAGATTTTTGTTTTATCTGGTGAATGCATATATCATGTATGTTATATGAGAGACTCATCTTTGCATGTAATATGGAGAATGCACCATTCTTTGTTGCCAAACTTGCAGTCAAAACGTTGCCTTGTGTCATATTCAGGTCAGCAGTCTTTCCTGGTTTCTATTTATTCTATTTTTCTCATGCCTTCCTAAATATATTAAGATGCCTATCTACAGTGTGGGATTGTTCCCTCAAGGAGAGGGGGATGACAAGAATTCTGAGAAGACATTCCTGAGTTTGTTTTCTAACGATAATCATGATTATTGCAGTCTTGATTTTGTTTTCTATTTCCTCTTTCAGCCCAAGCACTAACAACTAAAGCAGCAGTTGAATTCCCTGTTATAAACCCAGTGAAACAAATGGAACATTAGCTAATATGAATATATATTTTGAGCAGTTTCTGTTAAATACTGAAGTTAGAAAGCATGTTTCGTTAATCATATTCAATTGAAAACACGAAATGTTACCCTGCAGAAAGGGAATTGCATTTGACAGAGTAGTTGGCTTCCAAAGATCTTGGAGGAAAAGATGATTTCACCACTGAGACATTAGAGGTGCTACTGCTAAAGAATGGTGTAATTAGTGAGAAGAAAGATGATGAAGATGACGAAGAGGATGATTATCATGAGAACACACGCAGGACAGTGAGATCTTGTCTGAATCATGACTCGGACTCTGACTGAGCAGGGAAACAATAGCAGTTTTCTAACAAAATTGTCAGTGGTTCTTGCAACTGTATGAATTTTCACAATCAATTTTCTGTTTGTTATCTCAAGAAATACATTTTGAAAAAGTGTTTTACAGTATAGATTACATGTTAAAAATATAATATGTCCTATGAATTTATTAAAATACTTTAAATGAAACTATTTTTTATATTATTTTATTAAAGATATTTAATGTGTAGTCCACATTATAAAATATGATTCTTTTTTGCAAAAACACATCTTCAAATTTTATCTTTCGTCACTACCAGTTATCTCCATTTCAAAACAGCATTTAATAGTATTTTTTTATTAACATACATTTGTTTTGGTACATTGGATAGAAACTATACAATAGGGGTAGTCTTCCTCTACTTAAACTCTTCTCTACTCATATCAG